GACGGAAATTTCTTGGCATTTTTCTTTTCCGCTTAAATGATTTTTCTCGGGAGATATAGAAGTACCTGAAACTAAATTCTGGAATCGGTCTTCAGCTGATTCACATTGAAGCTTCTTTTCCCTATTGCGTTGCTTTACCTCGCTACTAACTCTTTCCTTATTTTTCAGATCCAGAAATTCATCGATCTCTTTATTTTCTGACGATTTAGGCTCGGACGAGTGTGTATGGATATTGGAAGAAATATTAAATGATGCTTCGTGGAGAATAGAATCTTCTAATACGTGTACGCTATCACTTTGTGTCTGCTTCTGTTCCAATTTCGTGACTCTGTCTCTGAGCTCAACATTCTCAGCAATGAGATTACCGGTGTCTGTTTTATTTTTCTTTTCTAGCTCCTCGAATCTGGTCTTGAGCTCAGCATTTTCTTCTATAGCTTGTTTCAATTTTGTATTCTCGGCTTTGACTTCGGCATCCTCATTTCTAAGGTCAGCAATCGTGGCAATGAGTTGAGAATTTAATTCTTGCAACGAATCGATTTTTGATTGAGTGCTTTTCATTGATTTATATAAAGCACATTTATTTTAAAACTTCGAATAGGTAGTAAAATCACGTGCGTGTTCCGAAATGTTGGTATTTTTGACTTTACTTATTTAATTAAATGAATCGAGGGTGAATGTGAGAAACCGTGTGAAGGCCCTTTCTGAAATAAAGATTCATTGGTAGTTTTGGTTTTACATTTGCGACCGCGATTTTTTCAAATGGTCTTATTAATATGATAGTTTTTGCTCGTACTTTGTTAATTTGATTTACTCTGCAAAGTTTCCCGTGAGAAGTGGTATGGATATTATTGACTTTATCACGGATAGGGGGCGTGGACTTGGCCATAATGGACTTGTATGCTCTGCCAGAAAATGGTCCAAAATAGTCCCTAAAAACTTTTCCATCTACAATCCCAGAGTGTTTCGGAAGTTCGACATTGCAATTTTCTGCAGTCGTAAAGAGGATGAAAAAATCATTTTTTGATGCAGATTTTTTACGTTCTTCTTCGTATACCATTTGACTGATCG